TGCAAACGGTGCCACGGGCGTTCTAGTAGGTCGAGAAAATACTACATAGAATTGCTTTTCATTTTTTGCAAATCTGGAGATTCTGGAGAGCAGACTGTGGTGGTCCTCTCCCTCCTAAAGGCTTTTGTGTGTGTGTGTGTGTGTATGTTACCTCCAGTTTGAAGGTGTTCCTGTGTACCCTCATGTCGGCCGGTTCTGGGAAATTATTGAGAAGTACAAAGTGACCAAATTTTACACAGCTCCCACCGCCATCCGTCTGCTGATGAAACACGGACGGGAACCACTGGAGAAGTAAGAAACTGCATCTGCTGAAATCACAAAAGAGGGGAAAAAATTGTTTTTGAGCAGCACACACATAATAACATTAACTTTGACAGTTTTGTAAATATAAACTATATTATATTACAAACCTCACAGAAAATATTTTATTTATTCATTCATTTATTACCTTTTTGCTCTCAGCTACGACCTCTCCAGCCTGAGGATCATGGGTAGTGTGGGTGAGCCGATCAACCCCGAGGCCTGGCAGTGGTACCATGAGGTGGTCGGTCAGAGACAATGTCCAATTGTTGACACTTTCTGGCAAACAGAGACGGTAAAGGACGCATCAGTCATTTGGTCCCTTCACTCTTTTTGATTCCAACAGACTACAGTATATGTCACTGTGGTCAGTATGATCTTCTTCTTCCTCCTTTGCAGGGAGGTCACGTCTTGACTCCTCTTCCTGCTGCCACGCCGCTCAAACCTGGATCAGCTGTAAGCTACCAGAGCTTTCAATTTATAAATTGTGACTCGAGTTTATACTCAGTTCAACGAGTGCACACATTCTTTTTCAGACCTTTCCTTTCTTTGGGGTTGAGCCAGCAATCCTCAGTGAACACGGCGAGGAGCTGGAGGGTGAGGCCGAGGGTTATCTGGTAAGTTGAATTTCCCCAGTGTGGGATCAATAAAGTTCAATCTAATCTAATCTAATCTAATCTCACTGCAGCGTAATGCCGATGTACTAACGCAGCAGCTCAACACACATACAGTATCTAGATACACAATACAGACTTGGTCTCTTGGTAATAAGTTAATTTCTACTGTGAAGCATTAGTGGTTTTGGTTCCTGTTCATTAAAAACGTTTTTTTTATAATTTTGTCACGTTATAAACTTCTGGGTTTATTCCTCTCTTGATTGTTTTTTCTTTAATGATAAAGTGTCAGTTCATCAGTAAATATAATTTACGGTGTGTCACAGTCAAGTTTGTTGGTGTATCTTCTTTATTGTGTTTGTGCAGGTATTCAAGAGGCCCTGGCCTGGAATAATGCGCACTTTGTACAAAAACCACGAGTGCTTTGAAAACATCTACTTCAAAAAGTTTCCAGGCTTTTACGTCACTGGTGACGGTGAGAAACATAAAGATTAAGATCTTTTCTTTTTACTCTTTGTCCTCTCTGATATTTGACTGTATCTGTCATATCAGAAACAAAGACTGCACCTAGTGCAGTATGCACAGCTCTGTGAAATACCAGAGAATATCCCAAGAGAAAGCTAACAATGTTATATATATATAAAAGAAAAAGAGTCTTTGGACTTTTCATCATCTGTTCTCCTCTCGTCTCCTGTGTCAGGCTGCAGGCGGGATAAAGACGGCTACTACTGGATCACAGGGAGGATAGACGACATGCTGAATGTGTCAGGTATGACACTGACATGTGTTGCTGTCAGTTTCTGCAGCTGCTTAAAAAACAGTCTTCAGTGTTTTTTATTGTCTTGTGTAAAGTCACAACAACAATTATACTGTTTTGACTGTAGGACACCTGCTGAGCACAGCAGAGGTGGAGGCTGCCCTGACAGAATACCCCGGTGTGGTGGAGGCCGCGGTGGTGACCCGGCCACACAAGGTGAAGGGCGAGTGTCTGTACTGCTTCATCAGCCTCAAAGACAGCATGGAGTTTAATAACTCGGTGGTGGAGGAGTTGAAGAAGCTTGGTAAGTCGTAATAATTAATGGATGCAAACTACTCACATTTATCCTCTATTTAACTCCTTACATTGTTTTGTATTGCATTATATCTAAGAAGGATGTTTCCATGGAAACATAAGATGGAAGCATCACAGAGGGCAGACGACACTGTATACTGTACTTCATTCAAATGACTAAGACTTTAAGATAATGGTCCATTAATAAGCTGCATACTTAAGGAATGAGTTGCCCCCCCACCCCCTCCGTCTCCCCCACGTGGGCACATAACTACTGCAGGGTCACAGCAGGTCAAAAAAAAAGATTTTAATACTATATTTGATTGTGACAGTGTGAAGATGAACTGAAGTGTAGCAGAAAATACAGTGTTTCAAAAAAGAAAGGCTTGAGAATTTTGGTTAACACTGACCTACCCTCGTGACACAGGTTCTTCCTTTTTGTTCTCTTATCAGTGAGGGAGAAAATTGGTCCAATCGCTACACCAGACTTCATTCAGAACGCCCCTGCACTCCCTAAAACACGCTCAGGTAATCACCTTTTCACAGTAACTGACACCAACATCATCCTCCTGCTCTCTCATCACATCATCACCTTCTCTTCTCCAACTGATCACTTACGCAGGGAAGATCATGAGGCGTATCTTGCGTCAGATTGCACGCAACGACAAAGACCTGGGAGACCTTTCGACCCTGGCCGACCCCAAAGTGGTGGAGGTGCTCTTCAGCCAGAGATGTGAAGCTGCGGCCTGAACACATCACCCCCTCTACGTCCTTCGCTCTCTGTTTATTTATCAAAACTTTACATGACGAGGGTACAGATGAAGACAATCACTGAGTGTCTTTGAGCACTGTTTTGGGACTAAACAAGGGACAGGGATCAGAAGATGACAGGAATGACAGCATCGTGTTTATAAATGTTAGTCTTTTTTGATGCAGGGATGCTACTGTTTGTGTTTGGGGCCAAACTATAAAACACTGAATTTATATTTTGTAATTATTTTGGATTTACAGTATGTATCACAATACTGAAGAGTAAAGCACAATTTACTCCTGTTCTTGAACTTTAAATAATTACGTTTGCTTTGCACATCCTTGATTTATTACTGATATGTAGTGTTAAATACTCCCACGTTCTAAAAAATAAACTTTAAGGAGAGTTGTTGAAACGTGATTGGCCTTTTGATTATGATACACACAACTCCACTGAAGGTAGAGTAGATGTGGCTGTAGTTCCCTGGTCATTGAGTTGCCTGGTACAACAACTATGTTGGTTTTAAATCTAAATCAGCTCACTCACTCATAACATTAAGTTATGCAGACAAGTTGTGATTCTTCAAAATGCACCCTCAGCATTTCTTTCTAAATACAATAACAAAATAAAAAAGTCATTTAAAAAAATCTTAGGAAAGACTTCCTGCTCAGTTTTCTTAGACTGGAGGGCCTTAAGTTGAAAAAATATTTCTGTTGGTCACTGTCTTTTCTTAATGCTGTAAATGCAGCATTTATTTATTTATATTTAAGGCAAATAGTTGCATAATGTAATCCCCTTTGTCTTTTTAAACCCTCGCGCAAACCAGCCTTTGTCGCCCTCAGGTGGCAAACCTTGCGCGCTGCAGCTGTTATTTAACGGCTTCAGTATCGTCTGATGAACAAAACACATACCAGGTGCAGTGTAAGAATAGTTGGTGAACCTGAACGTGGAAATAAAACAAAAAACATTCGAAGAATGTTATTTTCAAAAACAACATTGTAGACGGTTACTATCGATACGCAGATCAGATCTCGTCTGAACAACTGTATCACATGAATGCAGCTGTGTTTGCACGCGAGTGTGTTATTGTGTGTGTAGGTGAGGAGATGGAGGGGGAGAAATAAAGAACCCAGAAATGCACCAATAGGTGATGTTACGTCATCACCCCAGCAGCAGAGGAGTGGTTACTATGACAACCCTACATCCTGACTCCCTCTCCCATGTCCTCCGTGTCCTCCTTCTGATCCTTAATTTCCACATGGCCACAGAAATGGCCAAAAGATTTCTTGTGACTTTTCTGACTGCCCCGGGAGAAAACAAAAACCCCACCCTCAGTACTAAACTCCATCAGTAAACCTATGAAACGGGTCTCAAACAACAAGTATGCCTGCTGGCAGTCTGGCTAAGACTGGTTCTGACAGGTCCGACCAGCAGCTGGCAGAATCCAAACTCTTCTATTAGTTCATCAATGAGAAAATACGATTTCTTGACATTAAAAGAAATACAATAACTGGCATGAAATGTGTAACTCTCTCCGTCCTGCAGATGGTGCTATTAAGACAGTTGAAATTTGCTAAGGGAATGACAGGTGGCTACTGCTATTGAAACCTAAAGCACCAGTTTGTAGACATAAATACTGACAAGTAACTAACATTATCAGTTACTATTTATTATTTACTTATTACGAAAATTAAGAGATTCAACAAAGAAATAAAATACTTTTTCCAAGTTTTAAAACTTAAAAAAAGTATGTGACACTGTGTGACACACACACAGAAAGACTGATGAAGTCAGGTGCCAGTGTGTGAGCAGGAGAGGCCTGCTGTTGCGTGACTTCAGTGTGTGTGTGTGTGTGTGTGCCAGTGCCATGGAGGAATGGGCATGTCCGGGGCAAATGAGACAAACGTTAGAAGAGAAAAGGAGGCACCGACGGAAAAAAAAGCTTTTTGTTTGTGCTGTTGTGTTTGCATGAGAAAAGACAGACAGATGGAGCAGCTGAACTTTTTTTTTTTGTTTACTGTACAGAAAGGAGCATCGTGTGAAAATAATTTGCATCCGGGAATTTAAAACAAAAAGGGAAAAAAAGAAGCCTCCAGTGGTAGATTTTTACCCTGAAGAGAATGTACAATTTCCCTTAATATTTTGTTTAATGTATTTTGTTCATTGCTTGACAATGCGCCTGGTTCATGACAGTTTTGCAGAAAAGCACAAGTGTAAATAAAGTTCCATTATGCTGAGTCAGCTGCAGGTGCACATTGCATCACTTCCACGATGTCCTGACTTACAACAAACAGAACCCGGCCTTTTTTCGGTTCCCTGCATGGCCTGAAAATATACCTTCATTTTTACTAGTCATTACTGCATCATAATGATCATTTATACATCCATCTTCCACCACTCAGAAGCTAATTCTGATGTTGAAACTCATGGTTACATCTAGTTCAATTTCAGTGTGTGCAATTATCTTAGACACAATCTCCATGTTTGGTCCTATCCATAGGTCAGACTTTAGATGGTGAATTTTAACCAGTAAAATCACCGTTCCAACAATTTTAAATTGTTGATTTATGTCTTATATTGCCAAACTGTTCCATAAGATGCATCCAAACAGAGGGATTTCTCAACAACAACCACATCTCAGCTCCACCCTCCAGAGGAAACACAGTGTAACAAGAGGCTCAGGAACCAGAGAAAGTAACGGTCCTCCTGGCAAAGGTCCCACTTAATATGAACTCTCCTTTGGACCAAAAGTTTTTTTTGTTTGGTTTCAGCAGCAGAAAGAACCTTTCTGTATTGTTGGCATGACAACCTTTCGTCTCGTGGCAAAGCCGGGACTTTTTTTTTGTCACTCATTGTTTGTCAGGGGATTTGCACACAGCTGCTGGCACGCACAATTTGGCACCCTACTTTTCTGACATATTACGTGCTGAAGCAGGCAGGTCATCATACATGCACAGCAGATACAGTTAGAAAAGATTCCAATCAAATTGTATGGTGGATTTTAAAACAGCAAATGACTTATTTATGTTTTCAACGAGGGGAACAAACAAGACTCTTTCATTTATTTAAAAAAATATTGGTTTGTTAATATTTAAATGTTAAAATGGATTAAGAAATTAGTGACAAATTTGGGGTCTCAGAAATGCTTCACCAACAAAAGGTGAATCTCAAAACCAATATTAAAGGTAAATATCACATTAAAAAGCCTAAAGAAATTTTTAAAAATAATCAACTCAACTAAACCTGAGGGTTGGGAACCAGATGCAGCACACAGTAGGAGTGCACAAATCATTCAATGGGTGAGGTGAGGGAGAACAGAAGGTGGCATGGGTGTAAATCAATGGATATTGTGGTTCACCGAAAAGCAAAGACTCAAGGGATTAGAGTTCTGAGGGGAAAGAGGCTGAGGACTCGGGGGGCGTGGAAGGGTGAGGAGGAGGGGCGCGGGGATGGTGGACATTTACATTGTGCCGTGTATTTCTCACCTAAGTCTTCAATAACGTCCCGCCTGAACAATCCACATCCCAAGAACTTTATTATGTCTATAGCAACCAAACCAATCAATATTATACGGAAATATAGATTAACGAGTCGTTATATCCCAGCTAATCCATGTAGCTAGCTACCTAGCTAGCGCTAAAAACAACAACAAACAAACAGCAACAAACAAGTACAATTCCACCACCAACCACAGCTTCGATTTTATGTACATTTAAAAGCATCAAATATAACATATTAAATTACAGTATTATTAAAAAGACAAAAATAATTACTCACCAAAACTTTTGATTAGTTGTACACAAAATTCTTCTTCGTCTCTTTCCTTAAGATGCGTTCAATTACAGTTGTACAGATTATTATCCGTGCGTTGCAGTTCTCTCTCCATCCATGGTAATGCTGAAAGTCCCGTCTGTACTGTCGTATTTATTTAGTTATATTTTAATTCACTTCAGGTTGAAAATGTCTGCTCGACAGAAGTAGTGGACGAAGAAAAAATATAATTTTCCACAGCTCAGGTCGCTGATTGCAGTTTCCTGTGTTTGACATTGCACGTTCTTTGACCATCCAATCAAATCACTTAAATCGCCAACGTAACGGGAAGGCCCGGATATGTCCGCTTGATACCAACAAAAAATCTGATTGGTTGAATAAACAATCAACATTTTTTGTTTTTAATCATTGGATTAAAAACAAAAAACTCGCGTTTACGCCACTGGAAGCAGCGCAACCCACAGAAAAGCTGTGAAATAATGAGAACAAAGTACTCTGTATTATTTTATAAATATTCATGATGAATATATTATAAAAGTCACTGATTCTGATGCTGTTAAGACCAGCAAATGTCAGTCACCAGAAGCAGTGGAAGCTGCTTGTGTTCATTGCTCAACAGAATCAAACTGATGACCTTCAACCAACCACTCTTCTGTGGCCTCTTGACCTCTCATTAATTCCTAATTTGGTGCAATCCCCATTATAGCACTGTCCCTGAAAAGCCTCTTAGAAACCCTGTGGCTCAGTCCTGCATAGAAGGTAGAAGTGTTCAAAGAGGTCGTGCGTGTGTTTTTAGAATGTTGGTGTAAATTATTCACTGGTGGTTGGTTCCTCTTAAGACGAGTGGAAGCAAAAGCAGGGCATTTGCCTCTTCATCTCTCCACCAAGTCACTGTGTGCCATCAGCGGGTCCAATATGAATATTTTATCATTAACTCTGTCAGATGTTCCTCTGGCAGCCAGTCAGAACTTGAGTTCTCTGGTGAAAGCTAACTTATTCCACCGTAGACATACATAGCTTCAGAGGAAATGTAATTTTTTTTTATTTTACGTGGTGTGTATGACCTCTGACCCTGCTCTAATCCCACAGCCTACACTGATACATATATGCACACAAACACATATGCGGTGCATGTCTTATAAATACACATTCATGTTTATTACATTTATCATTTACATCAGACTATAGATTTCTAGACATAGACTTCTCTCTTGAAACATTCATATTATTTTCTCACAATCCCTTTTTCTTTTTCAAGATGTACATTTTTGTAGTAACAACTATACAAATACAGTATGGTAAATACAATAATTTACTTAAAAACAGATTTTTAATTTCCATAATTAAAACAGATGATAAAAAAAACCCAAAACAATCAGCTCAACATTCACAAACATGTTTTCCGTCTCCCTCGTGGTGGAGCTGAGCGATTGCCAAAGCTCTTATGTACATGCTATTGTTCAAAAGGCATGCAAATATTACTCTAATATTTGTACAACTGCCTTCTAAGTATGCATAAGTTTGTTTCAGTTGGTCTTCACCCATGTTCAAGGAGCCGGACATTCATCAGGATGTAAAAATGCATCAGAAATGACATCATGTGTCTGCTTCACACCCGAAGCACAGCTTTTTTTTGTATGTTTTGTTTGTTGTTTAATTATCTGTGTCAGTTCTTTCTCCCACTGAGACTTTAAAAAACCTCTAATCTACGAGGCTGGACAGTAGGAATGGATTGAGTCGTGTGATTATGGATGTAAATCAGGATTTGGATGAAATTTTCTGTAGATCTGGGATTGAAAAGCAATTTGTAAATAAACCCGGGATCTTTTTTTTAAATTGGTCAGGACCAGGTACAGAAACAAAACGACGATTCACACCCACATTCACACCATGTAATCCTGCCTGTTTTAACTCCCCTCCCCACAAACTCATCAGACCTTCAGTGACCACCAGGGTTTGAAACAGCGGCCTTCCCGCACTAACCGCTCCTCCACCATGCGGCCATTCAGGATTCAGGACACAAACCATCAGTAACCTTTGGATTTGTAACTCGTTAATTAGTTGAAGCATTTGTCGATTCACTCACAGACATTCGACTGCACAGCTGACGGTGCAGCCATTAGAGTTGTTAAAATATATTTATGTAATAAAAACATTCGGACACACAGACGTGGGTGATGGTTAGCTCCAGTGTGGGCAGGCACCTCTGATGGAAATGTAGTTCTCATTTGTTCAGAGTCTTTTCATGGGCCTTTGTGATTTTCCCAGTTCATTCCACTCTGGTTTCTTGGTCAGCTGGTGCTACTGGGTGGATCCCAACACCTCCCGTTGAGCTCTGCCTCTGAAGGAGTCCAGACAGGGGAGAAGGATTCTGAGGTACTGAGTCTTTTTTTTTTAGGCTGAGGTGGAGGTTTGGAGGAGGTAGAGGATGCGTTCATGCCGGCTCCTCCCCCTCCTTGGTCTTCCGATGTCCCAGTGGTGGGAAGGTGAACCTCCTCTTCGAGCCCTCTCTCATCTTCGGGGAAGGGGAGGGGGAGCGGGCAGCCCAGCGCGACGGTGGCCTGCGATTGGCCGGCCGGGCCGGTCTTAAGAAGCAAGAGTCCAGGGGCGGAGCCACAGGAGAGCGAGGCAGGTCCTGCCAATGACAAGGAGCCGTCAGAGAGAGAGAGACGTCTGCAGCTGATTTCACGATGGACAAAGAAATGAAAACTGAGAAACATGAATGAAAAGAGGGAGGAGAACGTGGAGGAGCCCAACGAAAAGGACAGACACTGAAACTGAAACAGATGAAAGGGTGCTAAAATGAGATCAAGTGAAAATGTGATGAAATGTCCACAAAAAGTCAGATTTTTCCAACTGTTTTGAACACAGAGAACACTGAATACTGATCCTGAACAAACCAACACTTGAACAAACCAACACTTAAGAAAAAAGGTCATCATCTCTTAATTCAAGTCTTCAGAACAGAACTTCTTTTCACAACTGAGTCACTTTCTTATACTGTACAAAGTCAACGTCTTATCACCATGACGACACAGCCCACAGACAGATATAAATCTCATTGATCGACATTTCATGTCAGTCTGAGCACAAGTAAAGACGTGTTGCGTTCAGGGAACAGGGCAGCTGTAGGTTACGGGACAAAAACGCTTCTGTTTGACGTCAAACACTCATCTACTGCACACTTGGGCACAAACACCCCAGTTATATAACACAGAACAATGCAAACCTGGTGGTTTGTGAATCCGGGTTAACACTGCGCCGCCGTACTGTACACACACTAATGAGGTTGACAGAACACAGAGCACCGTGCGTTTGTTCTCGGGAATAAGATATTAAAAAGGCGGACACTGAGAAGTCGATCTGTCAGAGACGATCTGATGTCACAAGGTGACCTGAGGGGCCGTCACACCGCTGGGCTCATTTATAAATAGTTTTCCTGCAGGTGTTTGATTTCGGCTGAAGGATGTTGAAGTCGAGGAGCACACAACGATCTACTTCTGCTAAAAATAAACAACCCCAGGGCGTTAGTGGTGGAGTGAGGGGAAGGATGGAGAGAAAACAAGTAGGTTTTAAGACAATGAAGTTATCGAGTAAAAAAATAAAATAAAATAGGTCATATGCTGACAGGAAGATCCAGCAGTCATTCTTCTCTAATGAAAGATATCAAGTAAAATAAAAGCATAACAACGTGCAACCGGGAAATACAGAAAGAAAAAATTACCAGATGGATTTAGTTATTAAAACATGTCCTTGTTGTTAATACAACAAACCACACAATGACACAGAAGACACTGCAGTATTTTGTCAGTCAGAGTGAGTCAGCCAACAGAACAGAGAACCAATCCCAGGCCCCTCGAGGAAAACTCCACCTTAGGAACAAGTTTGGGTTCTACTTATTACATAATGTAGAAAGTTTGAAATTTAGAAATATTCTGAAGGGTGTTTTTTTAAATATATTTCACTCCAAATATAAACTCAAAGATGTGCGTCAGAGGTGGGCTTTTCCAGGGAGCGTCAACAAGTGAACAGAGACAAGTCCACCAGAAAAAAACAAACAATCAAACCGAGACATGTACATAGACATCGGCCCAGTTCTACAGTTCTTCTTCAGACAGTTCAGAGTAAGAGACACAAGATAGAAGGATGGAACTGTAGGAAAAGAAAAGACAACAGACTAGGACCTGCTGGAGACATCAGGTTAGATTAATGACACTGACACACCGAGCAGCCACAGTGTGGGATTAGGTTTATATATGCATATATACTGCAGGGACATATATGGGTTATATTTACTGACATGTTCACTGGTTCATGTTGATATCAACGTCAAAATGCGATGTTTTCCTGAAACAAGACACCACCTGGTGCCTGTCTGTTTTAAAGGACCATACCAGTGGTTTTGCACAGATCTGGTAAATGTTAAAATATTTTTTATAAATAAAATAAAACACAAATTTTAAAACTGTTGTTCAAAATGAGTTCTGCAACAGGTAAAAAAAATCCTATAATTGTCAGCTTTATTCAAAGATTGGCTAAACTAAAATACTCCCGCTAATGCCTGCACCTGACTCACATCTGCCACCTACTGGGTGTATTTTTCATTGGTAAACATTTCTACCCTGGAGAAATATACTGTGGATGTATGGCATGGTGTGGTAACTGTCAACAGTCGCAGTGAGTTATGGTCAATGGAGTAGAACATGCAAAATCACTGGTATGGTCCTTCCTGGCCTGGTCCAAAGAAGCATGCACACACTGATACACACATACAGTACACACCCAGACACACTGTACACCCACCAACAGATGCATTGTCACCGCACAGCCGTCAACACCCATCGGATGACCTCACACACACGGTGACACTGCTGTCCTGTCGAGCATGCGGTAATGAAGAAGCTGTGAGTAAAGAAGGGTCTGGGGGGGGGAGTGAGGTGGGAGGGCGAGGGGGTTCCTGTGGTTGGTGAACCCGCCAAAGGACGTAGAGGAAGAGGTGAGACTTACAGCAGAGTTAGAGTCCCCAAGGAGTTGTTAGTATGACAGTGTGGTTCTGGAGCAGAGCACGGAGCAGAGGACAGGGAAGAGATAGAGCAGGAAATGTTAATCGGTAAAATCAGGACAGAGACGAAGAGGAGATAAAACTTTATATCTGGATCGTCAGAAGGTCGAGAGGTCATCTGGGAGAAACCAACGCTGTAGACCACACTCACAGGGCCTACAGCACACACACACAGACACACACACTCACCCTGATGACCTTAGTTGTAGACATACACAGGCACAGACAGTAATCACAGACAGTTACATTTAAAGCACTGACACTGACACTGACCGGAGAAAAAGTACCAAATACGTCATTATTTTGTTATTGGTTGTTAAAAATTGGTGTCTACGTCCAGGACTAACCTGGTGTCTCTAAAAGAGACCATAGGGACTAAATTCCAGTTCCTTCCTGAGATCATTTACCAACGACCAGGACAGGTGCAGCACACACACACAGTACACACTCCTGGTGGAGAAATTGCTGCGTTCCATCCCAATTTTCTAGAAAAACCCAAACCAAACGATTCCAATTTAACTTCTACTGCGAAGAATAGACTTTATTTCAGAGAATATTGACAGACAGCCTAGGAGGAACTTTGAGCGAGGCCTCAGCTGCTATAAAAAAAAGAAGAATCTTTCAGTTCCCTGAAAATGGTACCTGATACCAAGAGACTTTATTGTAGCCAAGTAATGTGAACACTACGACTGTTGCTAAAGATCTTCTGCTGGATACAGGAATCAACTTTAGCCTCAACTTTTTCAATGTGCTTCAACATGTCATCATTTTTTATTTGCGTTGTCCCTCATCAACCATGGTTTGATTTTTGATTTATTGATTTGCTTTGGCAAAAAAAAGTAAGTCATGCAAATAGAAGCTGAGCTACAGGAAGGTCACGGCAGCGAAGCGATAAACAGAGTCAGCGAAGAAGAAGAAGAAGAAGAAGAACAAGAACAAGAACCACATTAGATCTCTGTTCACGAACACCGTCGAAAGTTGAGGGTTAAGGAGAAGTCTCTGTTCACAAACACCGTCGAAAGTTGAGGGTTAAGGAGAAGCGTTGAATATTTTTACATTACCATTTCATCAGTCACTGCTTTGGATCTGATAGAGAAAAGCAGGGATATTCTTTAGTGAGTGTGATTGGTTAGCTGTCTGTCAAACATCCTTTCAGTTGTCAGGGAACAACTCAGACGCAGTCATAAAGAGCACTGCGCTGTAAAACATGGCCCCCAAATGAAGTGAACAATGAAACGGTGGATCCAGTGGGTCTGCATATTTACCTCCATACATCCTGACTGTCCTCTGTCTGGGTCGGCCGGCCTGCTGCCGTCCCTGCTGTGGCTGCTCGGTGCTCCGGCCTGCAGCCTCCGCTCCTCTCTACAGTTCTGCTCGTGCAGCTTCTTATTGAGGATGCGGGCTGCGTTCTCAGCCAGTGTGTAGCCCGGCGGGGCCGACAGGTCTTGTCGTATGCTCACCACCACCTCTGGATTCTTCTCCCCCTGAGTCTCCACTATCAGCTGCACGGGGCTCGGCGACCGCCCTCGGACTGTCCGCAAGCACTCCTGCACGTTTCGGTCTGTCGCGAGGGCCCCTTGAGGAGGGCTGGGCTCCGTGGTGGAGGGTGGGGAGGGCCGGGAGCGACTGGGGGACTTGTTGAACTTCTGCATGGAGTCGTAACTGACAGGAGTGTGGTCGATGATGTTGAAGAGGCTGGAGAGGCCGTCGTTGATGGTGGTGTGGACAGGGCTGTCCCGGGTGGTGGTGGAGCGGGCCCACGCTGACTCACTGTTGCCCTTCTGGGGCGTGGTCGGGGTGGGGGCGCGGCTAGTGTTGGGGAGCTCAGTTTTACTGGACGTTGACATTTTGCGCTGCAGTTTGGGGGAGCCATACTTTGGTGAGCAGCAGGGTCTTTCAAACTTACTCTGGATCACGGGGGAGTACTGCACCTTCCTCAGACTGCGTGACGGGGAGGAGATGGGTGTACCTCCACCCTTGGGTGTAAGGCAGCGGTGTGGGCTGCTGGTCAGATTCCTCAGCAGGTCTGTCTGCAGACCCACACTGATGGTCTGGGTGGTCTGAGTTCCCCGTGTGGTAAAGCCATTGGTCTGGCAGGCGATGTCCCGCACCGCAGGCCCGGGTGGAGAACGGATGGCGTTCCTGACGGAGATGGCCACCTCCTTCATATCATCGCTCATGTTCCGGGACAGTTGAAGCTCCAGAGACGATGTGAAGCCCACAGTGGGACAGATAGGTGACTGACTAGGAGAGGTCATCAGCGCTCCAGTCTCTAAAAGACCACACGGCCACCTCCCACTGCTGAACACCTCATCTGGCCCGGTGGCTCCTAACGCCGCCTCTCCTCCGCCCCTAGTTTTGGTCCCTTTGGCATAGAGGATTTCTGGGTCCTGGAGAGTGTGATGTTCACCAGCTCTAGCTCTGGTGGGGCTGTGGAGCATGTGAACCCCATAGTGCTCCACTCCCACCCCTGCAGGCCCTGCTTCGTTGCCCTTGCGGGGGGACTTGTGGCAGTGCTCAGGGCTGCTGAGGGTGCTGGTGGTCATTGTGGCGCTGGTGGTGAGGAACCAGGAGGCTGGCTGGAATGGATCAGGAATGGATTCTCCTCCCCGAGCGTCTGAAGTGGTTTCTGTCCACTCCTGTCGAGACGGACCTGAGCCCGAGGTGGCCAGTGGGAAGTCCCAACCCTTGTTGTTAAACTCCTCGATGTACTTGAGGTCGTCCGGGGACAGAGGTGGAGTGATGTCATCTTGGCCTTGATCCCCTGGGTGAGCTTTGTCAGGAAGGAACGGGGAGCTGTCCATTAGTCTTTGGAAGTCACTCATGGAGCAGACCGACTTTGCTCTGAAGAAAAAAGAAAAAAGATGCAGAAAATAACATTTAGCGACAGAATAAAGTGCTGCCTTACTAAAAAACAACCTCAGGAAAATTCACTAAAACAGTGAAAGGATCATTAAGCATGTATTAGCAACAGGAATGCAGCAGGAGGCTGAGTCATCTGCAGCCTGTTGGTTTTTACTGCAGCCATATTTATAATTCTATTACATGTTTTTATGTGAAAAAAGGAAGAATTTGAACTGGACTTTGTCACACATTTTACCTGAGCAGACTCCCACCGCTCATCTCCTCCTCTGGGAACACAGGAGCGGCTTCTCTCTCTGAAATCTCATCAAGGGCCTGGAAGACACCAAAGAATATAAAAGTGTTTTTTTACCTCCACATTAGATTAACCCTTTAACTTACCCTGACCCTATCACTAACCATAACCATGAATAAGTCAGTTACAAAATGTGAATAGAAATGGTAGAACACACAAATGGGTCTGGGGGGGGAGGGGGGGGGTTACCTCCTTCATGCAGGGGAACCTCTTCTCACTCTCAAGTCTGGAGGGTGGAGGGACTTCCAGGCTGAGAGGGTCCAGAGATAGAGCATCCAGGAAGAGGCTCTCCGTTGGCCCTTTCAGCCTCATCGCCGCCCCCTGTTCCTCCAGCATGGCCTCGGAGTCTGAGTACGAACGTGTGGCGGGGGCCAGGAGGGGGGTCGACGTACAGGGGGAGCG